TCTCCAGATTATCATTAAACCAAGATACACACTACCCTTCACATGTGGATCACTGTTGTCCTGTTCAAGTTGTCTCCAGATAATCATTAAACCCAGATACACACTACCCTTCACATGTGGATCACTGTTGTCCTGTTCAAGTCGTCTCCAGGTTATCGTTAAACCCAGATACAACCCACACTACTCTTCACATGTGGATCACTGTTGTTCTGTTCAAGTTGTCTCCAGATAATCATTAAACCCAGATACACACTACCCTTCACATGTGGATCACTGTTGTCCTGTTCAAGTTGTCTCCAGGTTATCGTTAAACCTAGATATAGCCAACACTACCATTCACAGGTGGATCACTGTTGTCCTGTTCAAGTCGTCTCCAGGTTATCGTTAAACCTAGATATAGCCAACACTACCATTCACAGGTGGATCCTTGTGGTCATGTTCAAGTGGTGTAAAGTTATATAAACTAAAATTATTCAATCTGAGCTGAAAAATATTTTAATATATTTGTAACTCTTATTGTAACCAAGACCCCAAGTTTAACTTTCCAAGGCTTATGGTTTAAGGCTGATGGTTCAAGAACTCCTGTACACAAAGTTCCCTGTGTATCTTGGATACACTGACTTTAGTTGTGAACAATTATTAAATTCCTCATTGATGGTGTAAAATCTAGACGTACAGTTTCGTTTGAAAACATGCTACAGTAATCTCCTGGCCCAACCTGCATTCCTTTTTTGTTATTTTTATGCAGTTGGGTAACTTTAAGGTTTTGAATAGTAGTATTGAATTTAGGAGTATTTAATAATTCCCTTATAATCATGGTAGTATTGGATTTAGGAGAAATACTCCTAAATCCAATACTACTATGATTATAAAGGAATTATTAAATACTCCTAAATCCAATACTACTATGATTATAAGGGAATTATTAAATAATTAATTCCCTTATAACCATAGTAGTATTGGATTTAGGAGTATTTAATAATTCCCTTATAATCATAGTAGTATTGGATTTAGGAGTATTTAATAATTCCCTTATAATCATAGTAGTATTGGATTTAGGGGTATTTAATAATTCTTATAATCTGCTGAACACTCATACCACCTCTGTGATACCAAGAGATCTTTCTCTCTCTCCTAATGTAACCAAGCTGGTTTCCTTGTTTCATTTCTCCACAAATATATATTATGAACACTCTTACTACCTTTATTATATCCACATTCATTTCTTTCTTATAAACTGATTTTTTTGTTCTGTTTCTCACAATTATCTGTTACAAACAGGGTATATCCTGTGAGATATTAATCTTTTCTTCCTTAATGTCAATAAGCTGATTTTGTCATTCCGTTTTTCCAAGACTATCTGTTATCCAGCTTCATATTTTTTATTTTGTGGTATATTTTGGGAGTGAAGATTTATATGAAAGTTGTATGTTTAGCTTGGGGTTGGCTGTCCCATCACTTTTGGTTAAATATTATAGTATGTATTACATTTTACCACAGTATTACAGTTTATTTTGTCTTGTCTGCTTCTTCAAGTGGGCAGTTACAATGACAACTTTGTAATATCACATTTTTTACATTTGTTCTGGGCATGAGATTAAGGGATTTCTAATTCTTACTTTGATTTAATGTTTTTTAAGCTCTCTTAGAATGTAAACAGGAGCCAAATTATAGAACAATACAGGCATCACATGGATTGCTTTTTAGAATAATGTAATATTTTTTTTTACAATTAACATGTATCTTCCATACTCTGTGGACCAGTGTGTTATGCCTTATGATTCTTGTTATTAGGTTGTGAGTCAACTTAACACACAGCAAAATCCTCAAGCCAGAGGATTTGAACAACGACCATCTTCTCAACAAGGCAGCTATCAGCACCAGGTGTGTAGTTACTGTGTTGTGCAGGGTTAGTTAGTAAGAGTGTAAATTATGGTTTATAAGATATATTTAAGTTTGAAAATTAGAAAAAAAAAAAAACACAAACATGAATCGTTAGGTCCCAATACCAAGTTAACTTTTATTACGAGTTTTATTGAGAATCTCTCATTAATGTAAGAGTTATAAACTGATCATAATGGCCTCATAAGGAATTAAGTAACCTGGCGCATTGAATTATTCATTTGGTATGATTGAAGTAGTTTTTTGTTTCGTTAGGATAACTGTTACTAGGAATGATCAGATTTAACTCTCACCTGTTCATAACTAGAGCTTCTTGATGGGGGGAGGGGGATTAAAGTACTTGAAATTTGTAGTCTTAGGGTAAATATGTTAGTTCAGTAGTTAGTTAAGAAACAAACTAGGTTTGAAACGACTAGTTGATGATTTAGTTTATAAAGTTGTCAAAAGATGGCGCAACATTTCACACGCCGAGATATACTGTTTCAATATCCGGCTCTTTGTTTTGCTGACAATACTACATGTGAAGTAACATACTAAAATATTGTTTAAGATTATATATTGATCAAGATCTTCACTGTACTTAAATGGCAACACTGGCCCCGACCACTGTATAAAGTATTACCAGCTTTATTTAAATTAAAAAGGAAAATGCTTTCTTTAATATATTCCTTTACGAGTTATAATACTTAGATAAAAAAAAAAATATGTTGATAGTTGTTACAAATGTTAATAGTTTCCATAATTGTCGTATATAATAGAGTGGCGCTATCTCTAACAGATCCGGTTTACAAAAATGGAACCTAACCAAATATATCACTTATAATAATCTAATTTCTAAAATTAAAAACAAAAAAATCTAGCAACTGCCACTACAAATAAACGCTTCTTCGCGACCAGCACAGCAGTAACTCGGCAAGTTTCATTGGAATTGATTTGTAAGAAGAGGCTCCATAGTGGCGGCTCCTCCAAGCCCTCGGAACGCAGTTCGTTACCATAGCAACAGTGCTCGGAGGCCTTGCCTTTGCTATTACGTTATTATTGCAAGAGTATCATATGGTATGAGGAGTGTAATCAGCGCCGCGTACAAATTGTACGAAGAATATGGAACTAATAAGAATTTCGAAAGTAAACCGTTAGTTCCTCAGCTTGTTATCTATCAGTGATATTCGCTTGATTATACCGTGAAATAACTGGAAGACGATATTTATTTAACGGTTAATTCCATCCATAATTAAAAACAACGCGGTCTTAGGTGCACACTTTAGAAACACGTTAATTTTCTTATGCGTTGTACAATGACGTAGAAAAAGAATTTAAAACATGTTACATACGTGTCTTAAAAACAAGGATAATGGGAAAATAAAGACCAGACTTTTCTACTAGAGCTGTAAGCGGCTTATATTGTAAGTGACTTATAAATTTAGTTATTTCCGTCTAATCTATTGTGGGAGAAAAGAAAGAATTATTTTATTTTTCTGTTGTTTAAATTGCTCGGGTAAACCGTAAATTATATTTTCAGGTATTCTGTCGAACACCTTTTTTTTTTTTTTTAACATTCCGGACTTTCAATCCTAGACGACTTTAGTCTGGCTGAGGAATATGATTTTTATTTGGTTGTAGATTTGAAAGTAATTTGGCTATAACAAGTCTCGTGTTAGTTCCTGAGTTTAGCGTAATAACGTATTGAAGTTTTGTTTTGTTTAGCAAGCTAAACACATTTCAGAAAATTCAGTTCCAACAGCATCTCATAGTTTTATTCGCACTCCCCCTTCTTTTTACAATTAGTCAAAGAGTGAGTTTAGTGATGAGATATAATACACGGGTACGTGTGAAAATTCTATATATATCTCGTAGTAATTACTTGTTATTTTTATTAATAAAATATATATATATATGTATAAAAACGCTTGATTTTTGCATTATTACACTAATGACTACCCTAATCGCTTGCGCCCTCCAAGAGATCACTTGTGACCACTGGGGGACGCCCCATTCTTTGGGAAACGCTGGTTTGTGTAGCGAAAAATAATCGGTCATCTGCAGTCGTAGTTGAGAAAAAACTGCATTAAGCCTCGTGAGTACAAACACTATAAGAAACCCACGCAATTACTGAGTTATTTACATTTGTCGATATTATGAAACCTTTCTAACTTATCTTTAGGATCCCCTGAATTATTCCCCCTTTTACAGTATCGCGATAATATTTTTTTGAGTATCACACCACACCAAGGCTTCAATAAAACTTTTATCTAGTTAGTTAAAGAACTACAGCCGTGTAAGCCTTTTGTCTAAAATTGTAACCCGTGCAAGAAGTAATCCTCCCCCCCCCTGGTTCAGCGGTAAGTCTTATGACATATAAAGCTAAAAACCAGGTTTTGATACCCGTGGTGGGGGCACAGCACAGAGAGCCCATTATGTAGCTTTGTACTTAATAATAATAGAAAACAATCAAATCACACCCTTTGGCTTGACCAGACAAGTGTAGCCCATGAGTTGGCGGTGGGTGCTGTTAACTAGCTACTTTTCTTCTAATCTATCAGTTTGCGCGAATATCCTATGACAAAGCGGGGGGGGGGAACTCTTTAAATAAATGTTTTTTTAAATTATAAGCCATACAATGGAAATATATGTCTACATATTTTGATTTTTAAATTACGTTTTCATTCCTATTGATAGGCGCAGTAGATTTCCGCATTCCTGTAGGAGTAAACACGAGATTAGGTTTAAAGCATCTGAAGCAGAGATTTGCTGATTTATTGTGTTGTTAAATGTTTATATGGTACACGTAATTTGACCGTTCATACGTAGCCGAAGAACTGTTTTAATTTAATTTTAATGGCGTATTATCACATTCGTTTAATTAATGGTTACTGCTTACCTTTTCGCGACGTTCGTCTTTAAACCAGGTATGTTAGTTGTAATGAGAACCATTCTTATTTTCCGAACTGTATCGGTTGAATCGTCTTCCCCGTTGATATTCTTACTGAAAGTTAGAAAAAAAAAGGGGTGGGGGGGACAAGAAATTATCTTTGTCTCCATAACATAGAGCACGATATTGTAGTGAGTAGAAAAAAAACAAAAACAAAGTACCGAGACTTCTAAACAATCCGTCTAAGCGCGCGCTGCTGCTACCTCGTGATTTGTCCACAGTTTACGACTCTGTGTTTTTATGAACAGTTTTGGAAATAATGCGTACTTCATATATAATTTCGGATAAGCCAGTGCATTGGTAAATAGGATGGTATAATATTTAATTATTATAGACCACAGTCTTTAGCGAAGGAAGAGGTGGGGGGGGGGGTGATGAGTCCGCAGTGTTTTGTAATGGCTTTTTCGTAATAGCGATTTTCACATTTATATTTAATTTAGGATGCTGTAACTCTAGCCTATTCTCTTCTGTCACGCGCAGAGAGAGAGAGAGACTGCTATCGGGGTTCACAAAGACTGCTCGTGTTGGAACAACTCGTAAGGCTGAAGATTACTTGAAGATAAGATGGATAAACGCTTGGATTCAAAAGCACAGTAGAGTTTTCAGTATGTGTTTTAACCATTGTAGGCATTCTGTGCCATTAGAATCAGTAGAACGAACTGGTGGTTTTCTGGTACGTACCGTTACCATGATCCCCTTCTGTATATTATTTTACAGTCAAACAAACGAACTGGTGGTTTTCTGGTACGTATCGTTACCAGGGATGGGAACCAGGATCCCCTTCTGTATATTATTTTACAGTCAGACAAACGAACTGGTGGTTTTCTGGTATGTACCGTCACCAGGGATTGGAACCAAGATCTCCTTCTGTGTATTATTTTACAGTCAGACAAACGAACTGGTGGTTTTCTGGTATGTACCGTCACCAGGGATTGGAACCAAGATCCCCTTCTGTATATTATTTTACAGTCAGACAAACGAACTGGTGGTTTTCTGGTACGTACCGTTACCATGATCCCGTTCTGTATATTATTTTAGTCAGACAAACGAACTGGTCGTTTTCTGATATGTACCGTCACCACGGATGGGAATCATAATCCCCTTCTGTGTATTATTTTACAGTCAGACAAACGAACTGGTGGTTTTCTGGTATGTACCGTTACCAGGGATGGGAACCAGGATCCCCTTCTGTATATTATTTTACAGTCAGACAAACGAACTGGTGGTTTTCTGGTATGTACCGTCACCAGGGATGGGAACCAAGATCCCCTACGATGTACGAGTTTTTGTTTTTTTTTGCATAAATCATTAGCAGATTTTTGAGTCTAATTGTAATTTTGCACAAACTAATGAAGTGAAGATTTTGGCAATAACCGTTACCAGTTAACGAACTGAGGATTATGGATCTTTTGACACTGATCGTTTTTTTGTTGTTGTTGTTTATTTCTTTAATCGTACTAAGGATTTCAGAACTGTTATTCGTAGGAACCATGTGATTTTACAGTCAAACCAATGAACTGTTATTAGTAGGAACCATGTAATTTTACAGTCAAACCAATGAACTGTTATTCGTAGGAACCATGTAATTTTACAGTCAAACCAAGGAACTGTTATTCGTAGGAACCATGTAATTTTACAGTCAAACCAAGGAACTGTTATTCGTAGGAACCATGTAATTTTACAGTCAAACCAATGAACTGTTATTCGTAGGAACCATGTAATTTTACAGTCAAACCAAGGAACTGTTATTCGTAGGAACCATGTAATTTTACAGTCAAACCAAGGAACTGTTTGCTTTATCTGGTATGCATCGTAACCAAAACTTGGAGCCTATCTGTGCATTTTTTTTTTGAAGACTGAACAGAGAAGGTTTTGTTGTAGAGGTTTCAGAATTTTAAAGGAGAACTGGCAAGATCATTGACGAAAAAATAAAAGTCGTATAAAAGTTAGCATTCAAGTAAATATATCGAGAGAAAAGCAAAGCAAAGTATTTTTTTTTTTTAAATTATATCGGGTCAGTTAGGGTTGGAGGCCCGGCATGGCCAGGTGGTTA